GATAGGCATGCCGACGTGCACCGCCACGACAGCCCCAACACAATCATAAGCACGGCGGGCTACCTCTTCTTTCGAAGCGCGGCACGAACGATGCTATCGCAGCCGATCCGAGCACCAAGCGACGTCGCGCTCTCCCTGGTCAACTCGACGAGCGTTTGCGTTCAGGACTTCGCGAGCCGCTTTCAGCCGATGCCGCCACCCGCGGCCTGCAGGTTTGTCCCACCAGCACACCAGTACGGGCCGAAGAGATGGCTCTTTGGGCAAGACAACGCACCCGTCGGCGGTCTGGCGCCCAGCGTTCACCAGGCGATATGACGTCAAATGTTTAGAAATGCGTCTTAGTTTCCCTCGTTTCTTTTCTCGCGCGCCCTGACCGCTGCCCCCTCCGTCTCGATCTCCGTCCACACCCGGGGCGCTCCATGCACCCGCACTAATCCCGCGCCCCGGTTTTTTCGCCAGCCTAGTGCGTTCGGTTGATTGAGGAAACCCCTCGAGTTAGCTGCTTAGTCGCGTGCGCGTATGCTCGCTGTCGTTGCAGTCTCTGGAGGCTGCGCCGCGGCTCCCGAGCGGCGCGTGACCCGTGCCAGTTTTGGTAAGGTTTTGCGCACCCTCTCAACTGACTCCCTGAGGCAGGGTGGCGCGGGTGCGGGGTGGCTCGGCAGCTCGGCGGGAGGCCTCCGACCCGGCTACCTTGTGCTGTTGAAGTTGCTGCAGGAGACGCCGATGACGATGGCGCTGTCCTCGCGGCTGACCAGCGTCCGGGCTCGCTGGCGCGCCGCCCGGGATAGCACTGACAGTCTGCCGGCGCAGCGGGCGCATTCTAATGCGCCCGCCGCGCCGGCAGACTGTTGGACGGCCACAGTCGCGAAAGTGGGGTGAAATCCGTGCGGCGCAGTGGCAGCGGTGGCCAGGCGGCCCCTCTCGGGGCCGCGCTGCGCAGGCGCGCCGCGCCATGAGCGGCGACCGTGGTGAGAACGCGATGTGCCACTTGCTCTCACTTAGCAGCTAACTATGATAGAACAAGTTTGAAAACCTGAGCGAAAAAACCGGGGGTCGGGATTAGTGCGATGGAGGCCGGTTTTTCGCCGGTTTATGCCCACCGACCCGAGACCCGTCTAGCGTCCTTTGGCCCCTCCACATAAAACGGACACCTCTCGAGGTGAGATGGGTAAAAAGGAACAGGTCCCCGCCCCCGTGCGATCCATGGAGCATGGTCCTTCTACTTTTCCCTTTCTCTGCATTCTGGGTTGAATTTTAATTAACGTCCTTTTCTATCAATCCCCACGAGGATGTGCGACGAGATTAGGAGCAGCAGGGTACCCGAGGGACCATGTGGAAGACGGCTAGTGCTACTCCCCCATCGGGAGGACGACCCCGGCTAGTCGCCGACCACTCCCACAAAGAACTCTGCACAAAGACCGCACGGCGGGTACCTGTTCCTTTTTACCCATCTCCTAGTAGAGGTGTCCGTTTTTATTTATTTATTTATCTCGCAGTCGCGGTTGGACGCCCACCCCAATAATACAAGTCACGAGCCTCGCGCCGCGGGCCCCGTATGAGTCGTACGCATGTCCTTGGCGCAGGTCGGCTCGACTCAGCGTTTGAGGTACTTCAGCTTCGGCAAGCTGCCCTTCGAGATTGACGCCGTAAGCGCGTCGGCACCCGCGTCACCAAACCGGTTCTTCTCGAGGACCAACTCCTCGATACTCGCCAGCTTGCCCTCGGCCGCCGTAGCCATTAGCGCCACGATGCCCGCATCGCGAATCCCGTTGTCGGCAAGGTGCAGCGTCTTGAGCGCCGGCGCCTCCTTCTCGGCG